ACTGTGTCCCGAAAAGATTAAATCTAAAAGAAATTCTCTCTTGCAAGACATCAGTTTTGCATTTAGAGGTCTTATAAAGCTGAATTTTTTAACATATCTGTTTTATTTGAAATATAATATGAGGTTTTAGTCACAAACACATTAATTTGCCTTTTTATTGTTACCACTAAAATTTCAAGGCCCGAAGGGAAACCGGTAAGAGACAGTTCTATAATTTGTGGTACAGCAATCGACAATTACAATTTTTTTTTTTTAAATTTTCTTCGAAAGTTTAAAAAAATGTTTTCAGTTCAGTTATACATATATATATACAAAAATAAATTTGAGGACAATTCAGTCTTCAGACTTTATTTTATCTAAAAATCTATCAATAATAAAATGTTTACTTTCTAAAGTTAAATATTATTGCATGCAACGAAATCGAGATTGAAGACTTGATACTCTAAAAAATATATATTTGGTGAAGCCATAAATGAATTTTGATGATTGAGCAGGTATTTGATGATTGAGACCGAATCCGATGATTGATGCATTTTTCTAGAATGCGCGATACACATTCATTTATTTTATCAAGATTTGCTTTAAAACTTATTTGTTATCAAAATGTATTGCTTATTATTTTCGCACAAATTCTAGTGATAAATAAATGATCTGAAAGGGAAATAATTTTCAATCATTTCGATGGCTTAGTTATGATATTTGCAAACACATTTTAATGGCTTGATATATAGGATAAATATAGTATAATGTATGAAAAACATAATTTATTTTATCTCCAAAAAATCGCAAAACAGATTTTTAATCAAAAACTTTTAATGGATAATCTCTTAAGCAAGAGAATACTATCTATAATAATATATTAGCATTTTTAATACATTCTTGGTTATTCATAATTCCCTCCTGGGTTTCGAAGCGTTATAGTAAAAAAACGAAGACAAATATGGCAAAAAAGAGCATATGAAATTATTCCGAAAGTATTCAAGTTTTAATTTAAGCAGTTGAAGATAGATGGCCGTAACATGTACCACTGAAGCCAGTTGTAGTAAAGAAAAATGGCGTTTACAGGCGGAGGGAATTATGAATAACCCTGTATTATTGTAAGTACTAAATTAAATTTAAAAAGATATAGTAAATTAGTTAAGAAGAAGTAAAATATTTTTGAATCGGGCTTTCACGGGACTTAAAGAGGTGATGAAAGCTTCTGTGGTGATGAAAGGCCTTTGCCTAAAGTGGCGATGAAAGAGAATTAAATATTGATACTATTATGGATAATTAAAAATCAGTATTGTATTATTTTTCGTATGATACATCTCTCTATGCTATTTATTAAATATCATACTAGCATGTATAATACATACCTGTATGATAACTAATAATTAGTAAAAATATATTTAAAGGATTTTTAAAAAAGCAACATTTTCTAGCATATTTCTTTCAGGTACAGGGCTGTTTTTGTTGGTTGGCTGGTTGATGTGTTATAATTAGAGCCCGGATTTTGATGACCTAACAAATCTCAACTAATGCCCTTAAAAAGTGAAAAAAATGCCCTTAAAAATCCTAAAAATTGCGCAAAAAATGCCTTAAATAAAGTAAAAATATTGAATTAAAAAATGTTTTGCTCTTTAAAATTATTATGAGTCATTTCAGAAAATATAAAGCAATGCAATACTTGTTCTACGTTCATTAAAGTTTGGAAAATTTGTTTTACATCCTAAAATAACAAAAAAAGGAAAATATATTGACACCAAAATATTTTTATTTTGTATAGAAGCTTTAATGGATATAACAACTTCCATCTCATAATATTACTAAATATCAGAATTACATTGGATTATTAAATGTTTTTTGATAATTTGAAATGTAAACGAGCGTCTCTTGTCTGAAAGTAAATTTTCATTCCTGCAGAAGCTTCTTTCAACGTCTACTGATGTTATAGGTGCGTACTTGAAAAAGACGGTCTCACTTACTGACAGTTCTTCTTCAATTTGAAAAGATTTTGCTTCACCTGTTAATATTCTGTAGATTTTCTTCATTGTTTGGAAGCCAGTGTAATAATGAAAATTGATAAAAAAATAATAAAGATTGGAAAAAAATAACAAAAAACTTTAAAAAATGCATTAAAATGCAAAATACGCCCCAAAATTTAAAGAAAAATGCCCTATAAGTCTAAAAAAATGCTCTAAAAGACAAAAAAAGGTCCAAAAATGCAAAAAATGCAAAAAAATGCAAATGTCATCAAAATCCGGGCCTTAGTTATAATCAATAAGAATAATTGTGAAAATAAATCACTAAGACACTATGTAGGATCATTTACGGGTGTTTTTGTTTTGTATATGAATTATTTGCAATGCAAGTCGTGGTTGTAGTTACGATTGAATAATTAAATAGATTAAATAAATAAAATTGAATTGAGATTCTACCACTTCTTACAGTTTTAGTCTCCCATGGCCCATGGCATTCCTGCATTTCAAAGTCTTTTGCTAAATTTAATATGGTAGATATAAATGCTTATCTTAATGGAAGAAATATCACCAATGTAACCATGTTGCTTCTAAGTGTGTACCCAGGCATCTTACGCTTAAAAAACTTAAAAAGTGGTAGCAAAAGTAAGAAAATATAATGTGTTTTTAAAGGTTCATATTCATCACTGCACTTAATATTTCCAATATATTTGTTTTGAATTTTTGCTTTCAAAGAGGAAGCTAATGCAACAATTTGGGTCCAATTTTTACATTTCTTTAATCACCAAATGTATATATCTTTTGAATTAACAACCTTTCTTAAGTATAATTATGCTAACGAGTTAAATTGTAAATTAGTCTGATGAAATTTTTTTTAATGAGTAATTTAAATGAATAAAGAATCGATTCAAAAATTCAGACTTCATCCATAAAGCCATACAAAGTCAGAAAAAAAAACAATAGTAATTACTGCCTCAAGAACCTTGAAGCGTGTAACTCTGACAATTATTTTTTTTTCTCCAAACAATTGTTTCATTTTAATTAGCTGCAGGCAATTATTTCTGTTAAAGGAAATCTTCTTGAAATCGGGTGTCTTCTCTGGAAGACCCGGAATCAAAAATATTTCCTCGCACGTCTATGCTAACAAGATTATTCATTTATTTTTTATTATTTTTGTGACAGAATGGTTATTTTACAATCTTCAAATATCATAACATAATTATAGAGCTGTTTTTCATTGTTATTGTTACATCACACTATAAATAAAGGGGTAGGTAAGAGCTGCCAGCACAGCCCGGAAGTAAACAATTGTTTTTACGACGATTTCTACGACTGAATGTGAAAAAAAATTAAGCACTGGCACATGTGAGCGGTGTGTTTAAACAAAAAACATATGACAAAATTAACCTGATGCTGTAATATAATGAATATTGCAACTTGGTGTAATGCAGTAAATGTACCCCTAATGTAACTAAATTTTCTTTAAATGTAATATATTTTTCAACAAAATAGAAAAATGTTAAAATTGCTTTGTTTCCATTTTTTTAAATATTTCTTAACTTGTAAGTTTTCGATAATTCGAGTTTTTGAAAGTTCGCCCGCACTTCTCGAATTATTGCGATTCTACTGAGCGTGTGTGTGTATATATATATATATATATATATATATATATATAATTGTTGTTTGAGAAGGTGTAATACTCTGCTTTTGAGCTGGGTAACAATTTTTAGATAATTTTTTCCTATACAGTAAATTCCAGAATAGTAGTTGATTGGTTGGTTCTGAAGATAAGATTTCCTATAAAATCAGCTGCATAGTTAGGGAGAAGGGGTGCAAGATAAGACATTTGCCCTTGGAAATAGCTTCAAAAGGGTGCTAAACTCAAACAACACAATTTTTCATGTAACATAATAATTATAACACATTTTCTCAATAAAATATTTTTCTCTTTTTGATATCACCTGCTTCATTTGCTAACTATGTATTCAACAACTTCTATTTTGTTTAAAATTGATTTACTTCAAATTTTAACAGGTAGTCAATAATTATTGTTCATTCTTTAATCATAATAATTTTTCATTACCTTTAACAACATCATCATATTGATTAAAAAATATCTTTATTTAATAGAAACTATATTGGCATAACATATATGCTATTTAATATTTAAGAACCAGTTTTTTAAGCAGGGTCAGGCAGGGTTGACTACTTGAGTTTTGATTTTGTTTAAATTTTCAGGAATTGTTCTTTATGTAAAACTATTAGACGCATTTTTTTCTTAGGGGAGTTATGGGGGTCAAAACTGAAGATCATCTGGAACTTTGAGAAAAACACATCTATTTACACCCAGTTGTACTTTTTTGTGAAACACTGAAAATTATTTCACATTCTTTGGCGTCCACACTAACTATTAAAACATGAGTAATTTTTGTGGACCTTAACATTGGAGGTCAAAGGTCATTCAAAAACCTTCAAAATAAGGGCATTTTCTTAGACTTTGTCAAAATCTACTTTATAACTATAAAGGCATATATTTCTGTGAATAATTACTAATGAATAAAATCTAAACACATTAACATGTGTGGTGTATATTTGACGTGACCTTAAAATTAACTTTAAAACACCAAGAACCTGAAATTATACACCACTTTCAAGGTTATTAACTGCTTTCACCAAAACTCATCTATAAGAATTGTTGGNTAAACCAAGAATAACAATTGATAAACTACCACTTTAAAATATATATTTGCTGTCCGAATATATATACGGGAAATTTTTCAGAAACTATTTGCACACTAAAATGGGGTCGGCTTACAGTCGGATCCACGACCGACTCTCGCAAAATTCCACGGAAATATCCCGAACGAAAATATTTCTCTGTTAGTCAAACAGAGATATATACTAACTTCAAAATTTTATTTTACCATAAACAGCTATGGTTTCATATTCCAAAAATATTTATGATTCATTTTTAAAATTGACTATTGTAGCTCTGTTCGTTTCGGATAGTATTTTGGTAAATTGTAATTTTTTTTTCAGATTGCTGTATTATTTCTACTTCAAACAATTATCTCAGCAGAAAGTATTAAAAAGAATCCTACTGGTGACCAAATTCCAAGCGAAGACATTTCGATCCCAATTATAGCAGTGGATGTAATTTCAAGAGAAAGTGATGAGTTCTCTGATTCCCCGACGATAGAAGCTTATGAGCCTCTCTACTTGGAGGAGATCGTGCAAACTAGTCAAAAACCAAACCACGAAGATCCTAGTCAAAATGACGTTCTCAATTCTCCCGAACCCAGAGGTAGCAGCGACAAAAGAGAAGAATATTACGACGAATTAGCCAAAAAAGCCGAAAATGCCTTTCCGAGCTTACGACCCCTGAAATTCAAACCAGATTCGAAGGATGAGGAACAAGCTGGTGCGTCTGCTTCAGATTTTTATGTGCCACGACCTTCTCTTGATATTAAAAATTTTTACAAACCAAATTATGATGAGATCTTCCCAACATTCCGCAATCTAGATCGTTCAAAAAGAGCAAGAAATTTCGGTTTTGACAGCAGTGCGGAATTTACTCCTAAAAGAGGTTTTTCAAGTGGCGGCTATGACATGAATGATCCAAGAAGTTTTGAAAGAACGCCTAAAGGTTCTTCAGATGTGGATTCACCTTATGTTGATACAAAATCTGAGTATTATAAGCCCTCAAATCCGGAACCATATTCCAATTCTGAGTATTACAAATCATCAAAAGAAGAAGAATACCCAAAAGAAGATTCTTACAAATCTTCAAAACCAGATTCTTACATAAAATCGGAATTTTATAGATCTACCCCGGATTTATATAAGCCTGCTTATTTCAAATCATCAAATCCGAACGCTTACTCAATGTCTGATTATTATAAGTCTCCGAATCCTGATGCACACTTAGAGCCAAATAATTATAAGGAACAAAACCCTGATGCATACTCTAAACCAGATTATTATAAAGAACCAACTCCTGATACATATTCTAAACCAGAATATTATAAGTCTCCAAATTCTGATGTATATTCGAAACCTGAATTTTACAAGTCACCTAATCCTGATGCATATTCGAAACCTGATTTTTATAAGGCACCTAACCCTGATGTATATTCAAATCCCAGTCATTATAAGGCACCGACTCCAGAAATATACTCGAGTTCAGAATATTTTAAACCAATCAATTCTGATAACTTTTCGAAACCTTCTTTTCGTAAATCAGCTTTTCCCAATATAGCTCCCGGACCAACGTACCACCGGACATCAAATTTACCACAGAAATATCGTAGTAGATCCAGAAACGCTGCATCAAAACCCCACAACTCTCCAGTATCTAGTCGAAACACAAAAACCTCTTCGCCAGTGTCCTCGTATCCAAAAACTTCTGTTAAAAGACCAAGAATTGGATCAAGAAAGCGATACAGTACACGGCCATCTGACGAAATCCACGGACGACAAAATGATTATTTTGAAAATGATTATACTTCGAAACCTCCAACAGCTCACAAAACCGAAAAGCGTACCGTAGCACCAATTCTAGGTTCTGAAGAAGGAAGGCTATTTTTAGCCGGAGCTAATTATGGAAAACCTGTGAGAGAACAGTTTCATGAGCAGGTAATATAATGAAATATTTTATTTAAATAATGTTGTGTTGTTTCTAATGCCACTTGGCAATATCAGCAAGCCTGCTTGGTCAAACCAAGCGAATTTAAGGCAGGTGGTTCGTTTCCTGTTTTTCTGTAGCACCATCTATGCTCAATAATACGACTTCAGCCACACACGCGTCACTGCCCATTTATAGGGCGGACCCATTAAAACATCCATTCCTTCATCCACAGATCGTAATTTTGATCTGAAACAGAGATCTTGACCTGATCAATCCCCAATTCAGTACCCCAGACGGATTGATTTGTTATGAGTACATGAAGGACTTTGTGACTCGGAAGATTTAACGCGCACCCGTCATCGTTTACTACACATCGTTCACTTAGGCTGGCGAGGATCGAACTCACGACCTGTTGAACATGGGCCCATCACCCTACCAACCAGGCTATCCCGGCATTATTTAAATACTTATTAATACATAGTACATTTTAATACAAAGCGAATAAACACTCTCTATGTAACCTTACACAGCAAATTTACATTTTATAAGGACTTTCATTAAAAATGAAATTTAAATGCAAAAAAGTTATTCTGTGAGCTTTCAAACACAAATATGAATAACTTTAGTGCTTAAAACAGAATCTCAAATTAATGCCCACAATGTGCTTCAGTAAGAGAAGAAGAAACTACTTAATGAAACGACGACGAAATTTATTTAAGGTTTTACATATTTAGTCGTAAAAAAAGTAAAAAATTCCTGTAATCTTTTGAATTCCTGTAAAAAATTACCCAATATTAAAAGCACGGTTATCAATACAAATTAGCATCTTGCTTCATAGTGGATTATTTGTACACCCAAAGCTTGACATTTGCCCTTGCTTCATAGCCAAGCTTTTATTGCCAGCATTCAAGAGGTGGTTATGAACTCATACCACTTTCTACGCTTTTTTGCCGCCGACCGGCCTGTTTAAGGGTTAAAGAACTGCCCTTGCATCAGAAAGGTTCTGGGTTCAAATCCCAGGCCAGGCATGAATGTTTATTCCTTCTCTGTACTATCTGTCCTTACTGTGAGCAACGTTGGCCCACCTTTGATGGGCCAAAAGAGTGGCCGACAAATTTTTCCCTTCAGGTGCCTGTATGACCTAGGTCATTATCCAGGTACGCATTGGTAAAAAAAAAGGAAAAAATGAATGCTTTTTTGTCCAGTGCCAGTGAAAAATCAGATAAAATTCTAAGCAAACACTAATTTTGATAATTTTATTAAGCTAAATAACACGACGGTATCTTTACAGGGCTCTTATTTCAACTTTGCAATTGTTTAGATCAACGTGATTTTTTAAACGCAGTATTAAGTATTAAAACAAAATGTTTGTTGCTGCTTGAAGACCTACAAAGCGTAAAAGCTAACTGCCATGAATGATGAATCAACACATATATTCGTCGAAGCAAATGCAAATGTCGAATTTCTTTGCTTCCTTTAACAAATTATCCCACTGCTGATTTTCTATTTTCTTAAAACTACATCTTCTAAAGGAATATTTCCAATTATTCAGAGATGCCAACTGCTCCGGACATGCAAAAATAATTAAAAAAACGGTAAATAACTACTAAGTAAATTTTGCAAATATGTGACTATTTTCACTCGCTTTTTAAAAGGTATAGCATGAGATAAGTACTGTAAAGTGGTGAATTATATAAGCCTACGAATTATTTAGAAATAGTGATGGATAGAAATATACTAAATTGAATTTTTTAAACCAAGAATCACAATTGATAAACTACCACTTTAAAATATATATTTGCTGTCCGAAGCAAGTTGGCACCTCTGATTATTACTATTATTAGCAAAATTAAAACTTTGTTTAGTTTAACAAAATTTAAGAAAAGAAACACTTGTTAAGAATTTGGCTTAAACAATAATTTACAAATTTTTCAAGCAAATCGTTATTAATCATTATCATTATCGTCCTGAAAGGGAATATAAATAAGCATTTTTCTTTTCTTAACACTGTTGAGGTTAAAATTTGACTTGTAAAATGTTACAATATACAAAACCTCTATGTAAATTAAATCAAAGAATATTTCATTAAGTGTCGATTTGTGAGCACTTTTGATTCTCCCCACATTGGTGACCCGTACGTGATGTGAACACGCCTACCTCGACAGAAACTCCCACTTCGATTTGAACACGGATGGTCCACATAAAACAATTGACTTGCTACTCGTAACTGCGCCATTATCCCCCTCCTCGAGCTGTTTCTACTCAGTCTCGATTACACATAACGTAGGCCTGTATACACTCGACTCCTAATAGCAACGCAGGAGTAACCACGACCGTAAGCTTAATACAGCTCTCACGATCAGCATTCAAAAGTACGGTGATCTTAATACAGCTCACCTGATTTCTCACAAAATTAGTGAATGAATCAACTAGTGGTATCCGTTCATCGAATTCCATCATAGATATAATTCTGGTAGGGGAGTACTGTAGTGTGTCTACCACTAGAGAAGTACAATTCCAATTCACTGGTATCTAAGACATGTTAGCTCGATTCCATGTTGGGGTACCTTTTCATAAACGAAAGTTGACATGGTCGATGTGACTCCCCCCCCCCACATTGTGTAGAGTGTCTACCAATACAGCTTTGTTTTTATACATTTACAAAATTTATGATACTAGAATAATGATTCATGAAATCAGCAATTTCTTTTCATTTCTCTTTATAGAAATTTATTTTCTAATGAGTTAATTTTAGGTACTGTTTTTAAATTTTTGTCATGTTTTGTGCAGGGAACAGAAGGCGCTCATTCTTACAAATTCGGCTACAATACCGGAGATAAAGACAATCCAATGGCAAGATATGAAGAGCGAGATGCTGATGGCTTAGTCAAGGGTTCCTACAGTTTCGTCGATGCAATGGGACAACTTAAAGTTGTAAAGTACGAATCGCATCCCGTCTTTGGATTTAGAACGACAGCATCATAGAAATATTAGCTATCAGAAGACATTTACTAGTGAATTTCTCTAAGTTTAGAATTCTCCTAAGGCTCTTGGAACTACTGAAAATACCACGGATTGCTCAACTTTTTTGAATACGAACCTCAATGTTATTTTTTATTGCAGTTATTCTATTACACGATTTAAATTTCCCATATTCGATAAAGTGATAAGTTGAAATGTGTTACCAATCAAAATTAACTATAGTTTTGTGAGAGGAAGCTATTATAAATTGAAGTATGTTGCTAACCAAAATGAGCCACTGTTTTTTTCAATCAAAATTAACTATAGTTTTGTGAGAGAAAGTTATTATAAATTGAAGTATGTTGTTCACCAAAATGAGCCACTGTTTTTTTCAATCAAAATTAACAATAGTTTTGCGAGAGAAAGTCATTATAAATCGAAGCACGTTGCTAACCAAATTGAGCCATTGTTTTTTTTCAATCAAAATTAACTATAGTTTTGTGAGAGAAAGTTATTATAAATTGAAGTATGTTGCTAATCAAAATGAGTCACTGTTTTTTTTTCAATCAAAATTAACTATAGTTTTGTGAGAGAAAGTTATTATAAATTGAAGTATGTTGCTAACGAAATTGAGCCATTGTTTTTTTCAATCAAAATTAACTATAGTTTTGTGAGAGAAAGTTATTATAAATTAAAGTATGTTGCTAACCAAAATGAGCCACTGTTTTTTTCAATCAAAATTAACTATAGTTTTGAGAGAAAAGTTATTATGAATTGAAATATGTTGCTAACCAAAATGAGCCACTGTTTTTTTTTCAATCAAAATTAACTATAGTTTTGTGAGAGAAAGTTATTATAAATCGTAGTATGTTGCTAACCAAAATGAGCCACTGTTTTTTTCAATCAAAATTAACTATAGTTTTGTGAAAGAAAGTTATTATAAATTGTAGTATGTTGCTAACCAAAATGAGCCACTCTTTTTTTTCAATTAAAATTAACTACAGTTTTGTGAGAAAAAGTTATTATAAATTGAAGTATGTTGCTAACCAAAATGAGCCACTGTTTTTTTCGGAAAAAGTTCATTTAAGTTGAAATATGTAATCAATAAAAATGAAGCATATTTTTGTCAGAGAAAGTTTATAGAAATTGAAATATGTTATCAATCAATTACCAATCAGTTCTAATAAAAAAGCAGCCTAACAATAACACGAATTTGTTTTAGCAGTTCATTAATATATTAATTTTTAACAATTACTTAGTAGTAGACGAATTAGCTGTTTTGAACGATGCTCAATATTAGGTGTACAGACAGTAAAACTCATCATCGAAATCAATTTTTAAAAGAGGAGAAAAAACTATTCTATACTTCTATAAATAATCTAATAAACTGCTCATTGGACATTAAAAGTAATTAAAATCTATGAAAACTGTTGAAGACATTTATACTGAAAGTACTACCAATAGTTATATTTTATCTAAAAAAAATTAGGAAAATTTCTTACCGACAAGTTTAATTCTGAAACTTTGTTCTAGTTGGTTAACAAGCTATTACTTAATTCTTTTATTCTAAAATTATTTCGTTGTTTGAAAATTTAACCGCAAGCTGTAACTTAAAATATTTTTCATACTTTTTCATTTGGATCTAAATTTATATGTTCATCAAATTCTATTATTATTTAGGAGATTCTAACTGATCGCAAGTATGTCACATTTATATTTTTGTAACAATTCTTACATTTCAATCATTGTACATATTTCATTTTATTTTCATTGCCAAATCATTATTTCATTAGTAGGTCTTTTTTTAATTTAGAAAATCTTGCTAAACCTTTGTGAAGGAAAAATTATATACGTATTTGTTAATATATTATGTAAATATTTTTATAGTACTGCAAATAATTTTTATAATTGGAATAAAGCTGAAAAATTATGAGTAGTATTTGTTTCACTTGGATAATATTTTACAACGAGAATAATTGTTTCTAAACAAATATTTTCAGAGATTGTTTATAGGGTTACATTAAACAGTAAAGTTTTAAACAATTTTGACAAAATTGAAGCAAACTTTATATTTTAATCCGTTTATAATCAGCACTTTATATTATTGAAACATGCGTGAAAATTCTTCGTCGATTAGTCTTTAAACGATAAAGAAATCTTTTAGAATTAATATTGTTCTATTACCAATAATAAAATTGCAAAACCTAGAAACGTAGTTTTCCCATTGAAATTTTTAGGACAGTTTATAAGATATATATATACATATTTGTCATTAACATTGATTTAAACTTAGGCTTTACGTCAGAGTGCCACAAGAGCACCTGTCATATATGACGTAAATTATAGAGTATGAAAAAGAAACATACTTGCAAATTTCTCAAACTTTTCGTCGGAGACTTTTCTCTTATAATTGAATTCCCACTTTTTGTGGAAGACATTTCTCTTACAATTTAACGGTAAAAAATGTTTATACTACACCTATTTATTTTTTATTTAATAAATTTTATTTCCATGGTTTTAAACACCACTAAACAAACAATTGAAGCAAATATAAAAACATGATAATCACGGCGAAAAGTTTTCAAATGCTAGCGAAATTAAACAAATAAAATTTATCCTCATTATTATTCCCCTAGCTCTTTGAATATAGTGGGACGAACGTAGAACATAAGGACCGATATTAAGAAACCGCTCTTAAGTGAAGGCATATGTCACCGAAAAGTTCTTGCTTCTCTGATGCTAGAACATGAAAAAAGCGACGCAACCTTTTTTAACCCTTTCAATACGGCGAAAAATCAGCAGGGGTGAAAGCGAGACGGAAAAGAGGAAAGGCTGGTAGCAAAACCATTTCAGTTATAGTTAGTTTTGGGGAGGAGTTTACTTATTCTTTTTTTAAATTTTTCAACAATATCTACTTTATCTTGGAAAAGAAGCAGTTTTATATATATATACCAGAATTATAAAATAAATCTTGATAGTTACAGATATTTCATTTTTTTCGAAAAAAATGCTGGAATGAAATGTTTTACGTACCGGGTTTTTCTCTTTTCCGTCTTGCAATATAAGGGCCTTCACCCATGGACTGCATACCTGCCAACTTTTAATCCCTTCCATTATGATTTTTCCCAGTGGTATTAAAATGGAATAAAAATTTCAATTTTATGCAAAAAATACGTTGTATTTTAAAAAGCTTAAGCTGCCTACCATGATAGTAACACATATTAATATATATGCTTAATTTTCTTAAGAATAGTGGTGATGAAAATCATTTAAAAATTTAGTTCATAGAAGAAAAAATAGTATATATTTACTACCACTTTAAATATAAAAATAAAATTTTACGCCAAATGCGTAAAAGTTGGCAGGTATGGGACTGGGACAGCACATGTCCCGTCCGGTGCGAAAGGGTTAAACCATATGAAGTTTTTAAAGAGGTAAAAACATTTTTCACTCTACCATTTTACTTCCTCGGTTCCAAATCGCTACATTTAGGTCGAAAATTTTGTCCCAAATTAGTGGCTACATTTCACGCAGGTGGAGTCATAAATGACTTCCAATGCAGTTTTGTAATTCGGCACCAATAAAATTATATTATTAATACATTTACGATTCGTCAGCTGGAAGATAATTGTATGCAATTACTAATAGAAGAGTTCTTACGTATTGGGGAGTAGCTTAAAAGAGTGCGAATTCCGGATTTTTGATACTGATTTAGGAGGGAATGCTTGGTAAGTAAACCCTGTTGGTTGATAGCATATTAACGCATTGAAATATCTGAAGTAGGTTCTAACAAAATCATTAATATCAAAGTTATTAAATTATAATCATCATCATCAATATTTATCTGGGCGCCAGGGGCCGTTAGCGCCCTTTTTCCCATTCGTCTTGAATTGTGATCCTTAGGGTGGTTCCTTCTGGTAATTGGAATGCAATTGGAGTAAAAGGAATTTAAATATTTTGAATTTTAGATAAAATTACGTCCCTACAAAAGTAAGCTGCCATCGGCCTGAGGTTTATGTCTTCTCTTAAGTTTTCAAAAGTAAAAATTTCGTTGAATCCTGCGGTGTCACAATTAATGGTCTTTTCGAAAAATCTGAAATTTAACTTTGCAATATGATGATCTAAAAAATCTATGTTGAGGTCGCGATGTATGTTTTTATTGCGGATAAAAAATCTTGCTTTTGTTATTTTCCTGAGGATTTTGTTCTGGCATGTTTTGAGTTTTTTAAGGAGTGATGTGGAGATGTTGCATCAAGCTGGAGATGCATAAGTCCTAGTCCTAGTGTTTTGATTTTATTGGGCACCTGGGACGCGAAGCGGCCCCTATCCCATTCATCTGGAATTTTAGAACAGTTTTGGTTGAGCAATGAGGTAAGCAGGCAATGGAGTTGCTTTTATGAATGTTTCAAGCTCTTTGCTTGAATAACTAAAAAGGAATCAAAAATAAATTGAGCAGCTTGCTCTAAACTGTGTTTGTTTGATTTTGGAGTTGTTCAGAATTGTATCAGCATGAGTAAACGTTATTTTCAGAAAAGTTGATGAAATTATTTGTTTTGATAGTTATGATATGAGGCGTCGGAGGTGAAATGTGCAGCTATTGGTCTGTAGTTTTTATCTTTGATATAATTTTCAAATTTAAAGATTTCATTAAAATTTGCTGTTTTACATTCTATGGCTTTATCGAAAAAATCTGCGTTTAGCTTGTATATATGCTGTGATAGAGTTGGTATTTTGAGGTCTGCATGTATATTGGTATTCCGGATGAACCATCTTGCACAGGTTATTTTTCTAAGGATCTTGTTTTGGCATTGGTTTAATTTCTTCAGTAGATGTTGAGGTATCGTTGTCCAGGCAGGTGAGGCATAGGTAAGTATTGGGCGGATCATTGCTGTATATAGTAGCTTCTTTAGTTTAAGTGACATATTCTGATTATATATTAATGGTTGTATGGCTATTATTGCTGCATTTTGGATTAATATTGTGCTTTTGATGTGATCATTCCAGGTGAGTTTGCTATTGATTATAAGGCCAAGATAATTTGCTTTTTTAACTATTGGTATTGGTATGTTGAACATTTTTGGTTGAAGTTGTGGAAGTATTTTAATTCTTCTTTTTTGTATAATTAATATTTGTGATTTTCCAGCATTTACTGCAGTTTTCCATTTTAAGCACCAGTCTTTTATTTCATCTATATGGTCTTGAGATGCATAAGTCAATGGATGAAAGTCTTTATATAGCAAGACGGAAAAGAGAAAAAACTGGTACGTAAGACATATCATTCCAGCATTTTTTTCGAAAAAAATAAAATATCTGTAACTATCAAGATTTCTTTTATAATTTTAGCATGTATATTAAACTGCTTCTTTTCAGAGATAAAGTAGTTATTGTTGAATAATTTTAAAAAAGAACAAGTAAACTCCTCCCAAAAACTAGCTATAACTGAAAAGGTTTTGCTACCAACCTTTCCTCTTTTCCGCTTTCTCCCTTGCTCTAATTTAGGAGATAGAATATTTTTGATTTAATAAAATTGAATAACAGCAATTTGCTACAAGTAAACAATTAAAATATATGCATGCAAAATAATATTTTTACGTGTTTATAAAAATAAACGAAAAATGCTTGAATAATTAATTCTTCGTCAAATATATCAAGTTTCGTAAAGTTATAATAAATCGGTATAGAATTAAATAGTAAAACTTGAAAAGTAAGGAAAATTACGCCCACTTTTTGAAATAGTCACCACGAGATCACTGCTAACGAAAACACGAGTTAACGCGTGACCGGCCACCAACGTTTGGCCACGACAACACTAGTTAACTCGTGACCGGTCAGCAATGTGTTAATATAAATTTATAAATGCAAAAAGTAAAAAGAAATTTAATAGATTCATTACCACTATAAATATGAACGGACAATCTGTAGTTGCAGGCAGTCCTACAATAAAATCATAGTTATTATGTAACCCGAATTAAAATTATATAGATTAAATGTGGTGTTGTTGCGTTTTTCTTTTCTTTTTTTTTTTCTTTTTCCTATCTATTTCACTTTACACTGACTCATTAAATTCCTCTCAATGCCTCGCTCCAGATTTTATCTTATTGGATTATCAGAAGTACAAGAAGAACAAACACTTTGCACTGACTCAGTAAATTCCGCTTAATGCCTTGCTCCAGATTTTATCTTATTGGATTATCAGAAGTACAAGAAGAAGAACAAACACTTTGCACTGACTCAGTAAATTCCGCTTAATGCCTCGCTCCAGATTTTATCTTATTGGATTATCAGAAGTACAAGAAGAAGAACAAACACTTTGCACTGACTCAGTAAATTCCTCTCAATGCCTCGCTCCAGATTTTATCTTATTGGATTATCAGAAGTACAAGAGGAAGAACAAAGAGAACTCCTCAAACATAGAAAAGAAACATTTTTATTTTAAATGCAAATGTGTTACATTTAAATACAAGTAATAAAATATATTTCTTAACGAAAATTAAAAGTCAGATCTAATCAGTTGGAGGAGACGCAACAGCTATAACACAACAGCCTACACGACTTCCGGAATTTCCGGTTTTCAAACTCTCTGGGTTACCTCCTCGGCCTAAATCATCTCGTCCAGAGTGTACCTACAAACAACAAATGAAATGTTAAAATAAACTTCCGAAATTTCAAGTTCCTATAGGATGTATAGCCTAAAACTCAAATACTTAATTTAAAACGTGGACGTGCCTTGTGTTAAAAAAACTATATTAAGATTATACATCTTAATCGTCAAGACAATACGTGAAGTAGGTCACGTAGACCAGGGCTGTCCAAATACAAAGAGCCCACGGGTCGGTCACTGATCACCTGGCGGGCCGCAGTTTGAAAAAGTTGAACAATAACCTCTTATCTCCTATAAAATAACAATTAATAGTTGAATTATTAATTATAAAATACACAGAATTATAATTATTAATTATAAAATGGTACAGAAGGATTATAAAACAGTTTGCTTACATTATGGGATTTTAATGGGAAAACTGAGGCCGATCAGCCTGAATAAGAAGTTGGCGGGCCGCACAATATGTATTGATGGGCCGGCCAGTTGGACAACCCTGACGTAGACCATATGTCATACTAGTAGACTTTTCTTGTTTTTCTCGATGATTTTATTTTTATATTTAATGTAGTAGCAAAATTGTTACATTCATGCCTGATGTTCGTTTTAACAACTTTGGTTTAGAATACTTTTACCTTTCATAACATGTAAATACTTTAAATATTCTTACAGAGCACCAGCTAGTTATCTTATTGTGTTAAGTAATAGCGAAAGGTGAATTAAATAGTTGTCTAGAATTAACAATCTTCTTTAAATATTTTTCATTTATAGTTATTTACTTAATTACATATTACAATTATAGTTATTATATACTTCACTACCATTAGAATTTTTTCCCTTCCTCTTGCAGTTATGATGTATGATATCGCCAACGAAAACGTAGATGTCCAACCCATGGGCTAAACTATTCCAGTATTTTAGCGCATTAGCGTTCAAAAATTGTTAAACAACAATACAATTCATTCCTATCACTATTACCAACTAATTGGCAATCAATTGATGCAAGATTTAAAGACACATACGATAAAAAAATACATTCAAATAGTCGTGTAATGTCAACTGAAGGATATCTATAATTCGATGCTCTGCGTGGCAATAATATAGAACTGCGATCGTAAAGAACCAAATGCCAATATGATAATTAAACAGCCTTTGCGTACATCAAGAGTTGATTATCAGAGCATCGCGTATATCTAGGCATGAGTACCTGAGAAATGTGGTGATAAATTTATATCGTTAAAAACAACTTGATTTCTTTTGATTTACCTTACGTTTACTTTACTTCAACGAAATAATGCTTACGCACCAATTAGCAGAAAATATATCATAAACATTTATTAAGTAAAAGAAGAAGAAAAAACTGGGTCAAGCTCGAACTATACATGTTACTCACGAAATAAGATTATTCATAAAGTTGGATCCTTTTGAGCATGCTGCATCACTTATTCATCATCCCTTGCCTTGTCAAGCAAATTAATAACCACATCTAAAAATCAATCAGAAGAACGTTTATAGCTAAAACCATAAAGATCTTTTCATGAGATTGTTTCCAGCAAGAGGTTTCAGTGTTGTTGTCTAATTAAAATTTTGGAAACTTAAAACCAACCTGGCCTGGAAACAATAATAAAAAATTCTCCTTGGAAAAAGTGTTATCATATTTTCGTTTCAAGCACTATTATTATTAATAGAAAATTAGGCCTATATAGTACATAGTACATACACACACACACACACACACACACACACACACATATATATATATATATATATATATATGTTATATGTCTTTGTTTCTTACCACGATGGCTCGTCCTAGGATAGAAATAGGACCGCAAAGCTTCAGCTGGTAATCAACTTTGTTGACTAGTGCTCTACCGTCCCATCCAGCTAGTATATTGCCTAAATCACCTACGTGTCTGAAATGTACAATAGATCGTTATCTTTTCTAAATATTAAATATTTTTTAAATTGTAATGAAAGCCTCTAATAATTTTCTATTCGCGGCATGGGCAAGATTCGACAAGTAAATTATTCTGCAGCTGTTGCTCTTTGCATTCCAAAGATAAAATTTATTATTATTCCTGAAGTTAAAAATACTAGATGTTTTATTCCTGAAGACTAGACTAGATTCCTTAAGACTAGACTAGATTCCTGAGACTAGACTAGATTCCTGAAGTTAAAAATACTACTAGACTCTGTATGTTACTGACACATTACATGCAAGTTACTTTTCCACAAAATATAATTTAGCTGTTATAGATTTGCTCTCTCTCTCTCTCTCTCTCTGGAACTGAGAGAGTAACATTTAAAATAGAAAGTTATCATTATTGCATCTGTAATTTAGCCGATTAAATCTGCAGTTCGTAATTTTTTTAGATCAGTATTTAGTGATAACTTGTTCACTGATAATTTCGCATAACGATCTGCGCTGAACACCGGTCACATAGGCACAGTCCAACAAGGGACGGTTGTTTTGAGATTTTACAGTAGATGTGATAATTGACGACCAATTTTAAAACATTAACACCAGAAAGACTGAATATTGCTGTAGAAAGTCTGAAAGAGCCAAGCCTGACGACTCCCAGATTGTTTGTGTGCAGATCAATTAGACATCTAAAATCTTAAAATATAATCATAATTAATTTAATAAGAAATATATTAAGGACTCTATCATCAAAATTCTATAGTCTCAAAATTATTCGATTTGATTAACGAAAATATTTGATTAAACGGAACTTTGACTTTTGAATTGTACTTATATAACAGTTTCAATAGTTAAGTTTCAATAGTTAAGTTACAATAGTTAAAAGTGTGTTAAAACACTCTTTTTTTTGAAGAAGCTGGAGTACTTGATACCTACTAAATGGTATCTTATACACAAACCTACATAGGGTGATGGGGAACAACCTACAAACCTAATTAGGCCAAAAATCTTCAGGAGCCACTCTTCCCCCCCCCTCTCGTTATTTTAGGTATGATTCTAGATATACTAGGTATAAGGTTTTATTAGGCTAACACATGAATAATAAAACCGGCACTTAAATTAGATCAAATTATGAAAAGTCAAAAGCACTCTTTACTTTTAGTAAGTTATTTTTTGAATAATAAAGCAATAAAAAACATGAGGGACCAAAACGGCCCCTGCCTTCTGTCTAATGTTAAAATTAGTAAATCATAAAAACAAATCAAACTTTAATAAATAACAGTTTGTCGTACAGTCAGAAGATTGTAAGGAAACATTGCACATTACATGAATTCAAGACGTTTTAAATATAAATGATAACACGTCCCGTAATAAAACATAATAAGTGTCATACATACCTTACCGCATCAAATTCTCCACCGTGATTTCTTCTGTAAGGATTGTAATGAGCACCAGCATTCATACAACCTGAAAAAATCCATGCAAATTATTAAAGGATATTTGGCACTGCAGGTAAAAATAACTACATCTCTTTTAAATATCGCACATAACTTCTGATGATTGTATTTTCCCATGCCAAGTGCCAATGTTAATGGTTCAGAGAGTTGGCCTCAGGAACCGATCAAGACAAATTCAGGCCCACAAAATTAACCCCCTAACAAAATATTTTGTAATTAAGTTTCTGAAGAGTAGTCCTAACAATAAAAATAATGTATTAAACTGCATAATTCAAGAGAAACATTTTGAAAGCAGACAATTGAAGATTATTTTTTTAAGATAAAGTTAAGGCATCTAATTATTAAGGCAAAATATAAAGGTGTTGTGTGAAAATAAAAATAGTTTGGTGACCACAAACAAGTGATTTTTGCTAGAAGTCACTGATTATCTGAATTATTTTAAGGATTGTAGCCTTCCATCTACAACTTTATATATTTGTCTAGAATAAGCTTTCAGTTCTTGCTGACACTAATCATTTATAAGATACTGCGAATATGCATTCTCGTTGCATTTTGCTTCAGCCGTTGGAGTGAAAATTGAATCAATTAAAATTCAGTTGTACTTTCGAATTTGATGAATGCAATGTTTACACGAGTTTGGTTTATCACAATATAAAGAAAATTTGAAATAAAAAAAATGCCTTTTTTGAGAAAAACTTCCTTCAGTATTTAAAAAAAAGTAATATTGTGGACTTTTTATTACTTTTTGAGGCCAACCAGAAAGTGTGGGCCCAAGGCCCGTGTCTATTGGGCCTAGGCGATAATCAGGCCTCAAATATTAATGTAATTAAGTGTTAATTAATGTTGACTATTAATTAACACTTTCATCCTAAGGACGAGATATATCGTCTTCCATAGTCCAATCCCTGTGAGCGTGTGACGAAATATCTGCCTCTTTTAATCCTCTCTTCTTTTAATTTTAGAGCTAAAAGTGAAACTCATAGATCAGAGGGTAAGAAAAAACCGCACTATTGCCGCGATGAAAGTGTTAAATTACAAAATCAGGCAAAAACATTTACTTTATCTTAAATGTATCTTTTGTTTTGTCTCCGACGTATACGGGTTCTAGCCAATCAAATTCATTCACTTTTCGCTTTACACCATATCTCGGAAACTTTTTAAATGAATCGAAACATTTTTGCACACAATTAAAAAATTCAGTTATCCGAAGATGAATTCTTTATACAAAATTGAATTTGTATTTATTGATTTTTTTAGGTATTTAAGTTTCATCATCAGTTTAAACTAAGGAAATTTTAAATGATAAAATCCAAAATTTGAAGGCCAATTTGAAATCCAAAATTTGAAAATCCAAAATAGTCGAATAGTTCTTTAGTTATACAATTTCAGAAAAGACTGCAAAAACGTTTTGTTCGTGATTCTTATTATATATAGATTCAAGTTCAAGGTGATATTTTTTTCCTATCTTTTATTTCGTTAAACTTATAAAATAAATTTTTGACCCTAAACAAACAAAAGAATTTAATTTTTTTAATTATATCAGGGATGGACAAACTACGGCCCGCGGGCCAACTGTGGCCCACCGTAAGGTTTTATCCGGCCCGCGGATAGAATTTTAATTTGCCGATCTGTGACGAATATAAACAATATACATCCATTTTCTTGTCTACTTTGTTAAAGCTATTTTTGTTCCCTCTTTTTTAACAAAGTATAGATGACCTTTTTACTTTCTCTATTTTTGTTCTACAAAACATAAATTGATGGAAATATGCAGCTTCAATTGGTAAAATGTTGAAAGCAAAAGTTCTTTATAGAATAGCCGTAGATTGGCGCCATTTGAAGCAGTTGTTTCTAAATACGTCATAGTTAGAGTTTTACAAATCATTACCAAAAGCTAGTTTCCCAAATTTAATATTCATGCCCAGAAAATTAGTGCTATGTTTGCTTCATCTTAAGTATGTGAACAAGTGTTTTCAACTATAAACCTTAGAAAAAATCATTTCAGAACTAAACTAACAGACAAACATTTAGCTTTGAGCATTAAAATAAGTACATCTCACTTGGAACCTCAATATAAACTTCTTTTAAAAATGAAATCGCAATTTCATTCATCTCATTAAATATTTAAATTAAAACTTGCACATCCTTTTTCTATTTTAGAAGTTTTTACTTGGCCCAACGAATTTTTTTTCTGCGTTTTTTTGCCCTCGACTAAAAAAGTTTGCCCAGCCCTGAATTATATGGTCAACTCCTCAAAAAAATTAAGGTTAATTTTTAATGCTATTTCTTTAATTCAGTGAAATTTCATTACAAAAATGGTCAGCTTATCAGATTTCACAGTATTTCCCCAAAATCTTGAATAGAAATCATACTAATTATTTTGAACATAAAAATCCTAATCCCAGCACTTAATTTGTATCTAATTGTTATCACCTTCATTGAACAGCTAGTCCATACCAAATTGAAGGTTAACCATATTCAACTCCGAAACCTAGTAATTTTGAATACAACCCAGAGGACAAACGATCCAGCATTGTGATAAACTACATTTTAAATGAAATCTTATAATTGGATTTGAGCCTAACAATATTCATCTCCATTGCCTTGTAATTTAGAATCCAATGCAGAAGGCTAATAAACTCTTGCTTTATGAATTCAAATTCATTTTAAGTGAAACTAATTTACATTCAAAACCAAAAACATCCATGGCTAGTCCGACGTAAAGGAAACTCATTCGTCAGCACTGTAGTTCACGCGAGCCAATACTTGAATTGATCAGTAATCAATGAGCAAGATGAGCGCTAAAAATATGCATAATTGCAATGATGTGTTCTTTAATTATGATTATATTTTAATTCACCTACCATTAGAAAGATCACCGTATTCATGAACATGGAAGCCATGTTCTCCTGCAGTTAAACCACTGATTTCTCCAGTCACAGTTACAGGTGCATAATAATCACTCTAAAATACATAATTGCATTCTTATTATATTATTCAACATACGCAGGGCTGCTAGCTTTCACTCCTTGCGAAATTTTATTTTAATGGTTGCGAAGTTTATGTTTTTATGTAATACTCTTTGTTTTGTAAATTGATTTAAAATTATTTCCGCACTACTGCATGTAAAAGATTTGAAAGTTCATATAAAACGCCACAGCCTTCGTTCATATAAAACGTTGTTCAGTCTTCTCGTTGTAATGCATTTAAAATATTGGCAAATTAATACCGAAACTTCTTAGGGCTTATATTTTTGAACTGTCCACCGTTATGGAGTAGTTAGGGTTCTGGAAAAAATATAAAACTGTATGTAAAACAATGAACATATCTGGCTCGTTTTTTGGAAGAAACAAAGAATACTTTGCCTACCAAGACAAATTAAAAGTTACAATGCATGAGCATGTCATTGCCTGAAACCTAAAGAAAATTCTAGACCTTAATTGTTTTCTTGTGACCCCTATATTGATGGATATTAAATGAAATTAATATTTAAATTTTTAATATTATTGACATTGAAGGAAATTGATTATTTGTTTACTGATAACAAAGTATTTAAATCATCTTTTTTGTTAAGAAAAAAGAACGTGTTTAAAATCTGTCAAAGCTTTTAATTGTTATATAATTTCTTACAATCACATTAGCCGACCGGTCTGTGTAGGGAGCAGGGAACTGTCCTTGCATCAGAAAGGTTTTGGGTTCGAACCCCGGGCAAGGCATGGATGTTTCTTTCTCTCTCTGTGTGTTCTACGTCCTTTCTCCTTTGTGTGTGATGTGAATGTGACCCGCCCTATAAACAGGTCGTGGTTGTGTGAATGACGTGGTAGAAGTCGAATTCCTGGCCAAAGATGGCTCCACTGAAAAACAGGAACAATCGCACCCTTACTTCCTAAAAACAGGCATACGACAAACAAAAAAAACAATCATATTATGATCCGAAAGTAAATACCTTTAATAATAATTCCTTTTAGGTTTGACTGGAATTTGTTTAATACGAATGTCTTAACACTGTTTCTTAGTAGCTACCTATTCCATAGCAGTTTTAATCATAATAAGTGGATCTTTTTTCTTCTTCTTTCTTTTGGAAAATTGTCGCTGAAAATATATAATTTCATTAATTATGACAATCAATAACATTATGTGTTATTGCTTGTAATTTTAACAAAATATCTCTATTCAATAATTAGTTCAGCATCTCTAGTTTCTTTGTTGTCACTGCAACGTAAGAGATAACCTATTTCAACTTTTTATCATCAGACATAGACTATTCGCCTGACGAAAAATTATTTTGGTAATATGTGACCTCACCAAATTAAGGATTATATTCGAAATATTATTGCAATAACTACCTATTCCATAACAATTCTCACAAGTGTTTGTTAATAAACAAATCTTTTTTTTTTTTTTTGATCGTTGTTGTTTAAAAACATAAAATATTAATTGAAATTTTTTGTTTCTCCACTGCAAGCCGTTCATCATTCAGATTCTTGTGAATATGTACATTTTGAGTTATCTTGCAATTGCTTACGGGAGATGATTCGATAGATTGTGGTTCCTTAAAAAACGAGGTTGAACTTATCAAATTTTCAACACAAAATTTTTTTAATACAGCATAATAAATTTGCCTGAACTGAACGCTAAATAAAATAAATTAAGAACAAATTAAAGTATGTGTTAAAAATATATATATATATTAAAAACTGGTAACAGAAATTAAGACGAAAGAGACTTTTTATTTAAAAATAATAATTTTTTGGAAACTTTTTTGTTGTTAATTGAACTTAATGTAGAGTTTATTGGAGTAAAGTCCAAATGAGGGCATGCTTCGTCACGCAAAGAACGCGTTATTTATTTTTTTTTATGTTTATATTAATGAATCTTTTACATATTAGTTAGTGTGGTTACTCATCTATTTTTAATAATCACCAGTGATTACTAATAATAACTAAATAAATCTGAAAATAAGTAATTTTCCATTTTATCGACGATAATTTTCATAATTTATCTCATTAGTTGGTCATATAATAATACACGATATCTGGTCAGTGTGATAGTTTCAATGGAATAACAGGTTATAAAGACCAATTATTATTAATATTAATGACAACAGTTACAAATAAAGTGAGTAACTGTTAAGATTGTTAATGATTATTATTAATAGCAATGATCACGTTTATTAATAATAATTGTAAGTTTCTATTAACAATACTGGTTTTTACTTAAAATGCCCCATTTTAAGTAAAAACCAAACTTTCTCTCTAGTAGAAAGTCTGTCAACTTTCTACTCTTTCAGAGAAAATTCTTCTAGTGATTACTAAATTTATATTTTAATATATCTTTTTTTGTTTTGTAAATTTGACATAAAGTTATTACATGTGTTATAAGTGGCACACCACTTCCCATAAACGATTAAAATAAAGTTTATAAGAAAGGCTACTTTGTTACTGCTCTCTCGTGGCAAAGCTTTGAAATTTTTCCAAAATTACCAAAAATTTTGCAAGCTCTAGTTTTTTATTGTCTACCACTGTATAAAATATTTTGCAAAAAGCGTAATAGTTGGTTATAATAATTCTCTGGTTATAATAATATTAATGAAAGAATGTTATAGAGCTGTGCATTTCTTATAACAAAATATCTGGTTCGAATGGTGTTGATGATATTTTTTTTCGTGAACACCATATCGGTGAATCAACATCACCCCATCAACATAAAAAGAACAGATAAAGCAGAGAAATTACATCCATGCCAGAAGCAAAATTCGAACCCCGGAGGTTCAGTCAGCTGCCTAATCGCCTTACAGCAAGACGACACATCATTCATAATTGATAACATAAAAAAAGCTAAGTAAACATAACAAACTTAATAATACATAATAATTAAATGAATAATCCCAAGAAACTGAAGCTGTGAGCTTTATTTGATTAAAAGCTTTATTTGTTTTAAATATATAAAAATTGGAAATAAAATCAAAAAATTTTCAAGCGATCGAAAATGGGCCCCATTCTCAAGATTTGCCAACGTTTTAAGACTTGTGAATAAGAAAAAAAAGTGATTTGAAATGATTGTATACATGGTTTCATACTTCAAATCATTTTTGTATGAGCCGTTTTATATTTCCAATAATTTTCGTTTCTTCTCATTCAAATCTGCCAAGTCTATTTTTGAACAGTTGAAACATGCCGACTGTCATTTCCAATTTGTATATTTTAGAAGTGAATGAAGTTTTTAATCATCACATATTCATAATTGTATGCTTTTTCCAACAAAAAAATTTTTTTTGTTTAAATTAAATCGATAATAATAAATTCATGAAATTTTGTTAGAAGGGGAATTATTCTTATTGAAGGGGACATATACCCCTGCTCCCACTGCCATGGACGCCCATGGTATATAAATACTTTAACCCTGGTTTAGCATTAAATATTTTCAAACTTCTCTAATCAATGTCGTTTGGATCAAATCAAAACTAACGACTACAAAAAGAAAACACTAAATCCATTTTAGATCATCACTTACTTGGCTTCTTAAGCGAATTGTTCCACGAACCGTGCCATTGCGTACTACACAAATGGCATTATAAACGTCACATGCGTCAGCGAGATTCAAAACTACCACCAAGGTCGCCAAGAAAACGATCAGTAAATTCATTTTCTTAAAAGAAAATTGTAAACTGGACCAGCTGCGAACAATTTTCAATTTTTCATTGAGACTGCGAGAGACATCTGGAACTTATATAGCTGCAGCCATGTGATGACCAAACCACGTGACGTGACATCGGATATTTATTCAGATACAAGCAAACGATGAAAAAAAAATTTGTTTCACTGTCGTCTGAGGTGCTAAAGATACTTTTTTAACATGCTATTCTTAGATGGCAACGTGTTCTGTAGTTTCAGCAAAGGATGGTAGACTATCGTGACGAATTGAAAATGGAATGTTTTGAGAAATTGCAAAGATATACTTTCTATATCTTCGCCTTAGAGCAATGTATTACAATAAATCACCAACAGAATTTTTGGCCATTTAAAAGAAAAACTATTTTCGCCTAGAAACAACAAGAAAATTTACTTTTTTTAATTCGAGTTTATAAAACTTGTAATGAGTTTTACTACGCAATGTGGAACGTAGCTTTAGGAGCATATTTGTTTGAATTCTTCTTACTTATTTTTCCTCGGTTATAAAAATTAAATATCAGAAGTCTTAAAATAATGTTTCTCATTATCTAAAATTTTTTAATCTCTAAAAATATTTTTTTTAATTCTAGTTTGTAATCATTTAATTTCGTTTTATCAAAAATAGTAAACAAAATGAAACCATGATTCATTATCGTTTCTTGAGATCTAATAACATTAACCCTCAGCACTAATATGCAAACACCCTCCAACTACTAAGTAATTTTTGTAGTTTAAAAATATTTTTTTCCCGATGGTAGCAAAGGCAATCTGTAATTATTTCTATAAATTAGAATAAAAATATTTATGTCCACCACTACACCAAAATAATTTAAACAAATGTAATGAATATCAGATAAAGTATAGAATTATATCCATCACTTCACCTAAATAATAAAAGTGGTGTTCTTGAATTATAGAGTTAGAATAATTTTTAAAACGTCTCATCAGTTTGTATGGTAACTGAAAAATCTATTATATATAATTCTCTTACGTGGCTCCCAAATTTTGGCTGTATTTCTTTTCCGCCGGTGGCAACGTTTGCTTTGTTTTGAAAACACCAAAGCATTCTGCCTTTTAATGATGTGTTTCTGATCTAATATATATAATTCTCTTACGTGGCTCCCAAATTTTGGCTGAAGTACTTTGTACAACTAAATAAGATTCTTTTCACAACA